CCCAGGACACCCCCCGTAAGAAAGAATTATCTGGCCCATGGTGGTGATAGCTGTACAGCAGTGTGAAAGTACTTAATACCACTGTGCACTTAAAAATGATTATGATGGTAAAGTTTATGTTATGTGTATTTATCCCAATTAAAAAAAAAAAAAAACGGGGGGCGGGGAATTATCTGGCCCAAAATGTCCGTAGTGCTGAGGTTGAGAAACTGAGCCCTAAGCTCTTACTAGTATCATCTCATTTAATTCTTACCACCCTGTACAGTTTGATGCCCATTTTCCAGAAGGGGAAACTGAGGTTCAGGTTGGTCACAGAGTTAGTTGGCACTGCCCAGTGCTGCCTACCTGCAAGGCCAGTGCTCTGGATCCCTTGCTCTTTGCTGAGTGTCTTCCTTAGGCAGCTCATGGCCGTCGCTCTGCAAGGCATCCCCAGGCAGGCTGTGCTGAGAACCCCTTGGCTGTGATGGCTCAGATGGGAGAATGGGGGTAGTAGGGGAAGGGCCCAGCGTCCCATTGGGGAACTGGTGCTTCCTGTTGGGGAACTGACACCTCTTGTCTCCCAGGGTGGAGGCTGTCGGTTCCTGCGCTACAACTGCTCCGTCCGAGCCCCACGGAAGGGCTGGACTCTTATGCACCCCGGGCGACTCACGCACTACCACGAGGGGCTCCCCACCACCAAAGGCACCCGCTACATCGCAGTCTCCTTCGTCGATCCCTAATTGGCCCGGCCCGGCCACCACAGACCTTTTCCTCTTTGTCAACAACCATTGCCCAGCAGCCTCTGGGACCTCGGGGTCCCAGGGAACCAGTCCAGCCTCCAGGCTCTTGACCTCTCATTGCTCTTGGAGCTGCCATCCGAGAGACTGGGCCACAGGCTAGAGGCAGAGCACACCTCCTTGGCTGGGACCTTCCTGGTGCTCTGGACACAGCCCCGGGAGAAACTGTTCGCTTCCACTGCTTTGTAGCAACTCGTCCTTTCCCATCCCTCTTCCTGAAAAACCCAGTCCCACTTCCTCTGCTTCTTCCAAGGGGCAACACTTGAGCAGAAGAGGGGCTGACCCAGCTGCCCAGAGAGACTCTCGGGGTGAGAAGCCACGCCCCAGAGCTTCTCCCCAGCGGAGCTGCAGCCCCGAGGACTTCTGCTTCAAGCTTCAGGGTTGACACCGAGACCTGGATCAGACTCAAGTCCCCAGCCTGACCGTGGGACTGCTGAAGCCCCATCCTCCCTGGCTCCTATCATGAGAGCAAAACTCTGTCCCTTGGAGACGGTGACTCAGGAAACCTCCTGGGAGACAGGAAATGCACGGAGGCCACAGCTCCATCCTCTGCTTGACCCTTTCTGGGGGCGCAGAGCAGGGAGTGGTATGTCCAGACACTGCACTGCGTCACCCTGTCCTGAATGCCTCCAGAGAGAGGGACAGACAGAAACAGGAGAGTTTCTACTAAAGGTCATTCAAACCACTGAGTGGGAGATGCTGGGGTGGGCGGGTGTATGTCTGCAGGGAGAAACTTTAACAGCTCACGACTGGCAAGGAAGGCCGGCCGTGGGTGACTTGGCATATTGGGGCAGGCAGATTGGGTGACTTGTGTTTCCCACACTCAGTCACATGTGATCTCCATGTCCTTTGTATATTCCATAAATCCTCCGTATAAGCCAGGCACTGCTACCTGGGGCACACTGTGTCATCTCTTAAGATCTGAATCTGGTGTCACCCTCCTCCGAAGCCTTTGCTGACCACCCTTCTTGCAAACATGAATGTCAGGGAACAGTGAACTTCTGCCCCACCATACCCTGGGCAGATTTGTAGCACCAATAACACTTCAGGGCCTTTATTAATAATAAGCAGTAACCTCTATCTGTCCCTGCTCTGGGCTGGGCATCGTGCATGTCAGGCCAGCTCAGCACGCAGTCCTCTGGGGTAGGGGCTAGCATCACTTTTTTATAGATGAGGAAATGTAGGCTTGGAGAAGCCAAGTGATTGGCCTAAAGTCACACAAGTGCTAAGGACAGGGATTTGAATATGATTTCAGCAGAAATCTGGTCCCTGCCCGCCCCCCCCCCCCGCCCCGCCCCGCCCCAGGCATCCTGTAATCAGTGGTGAGGACAAAAAACCAAATGCAGTTCACTGTGGACCCGGTGTGGACCGGTGTGATAAATGCCACAATGGTTGTAAGAACTGCTGTGGGGAACAGGAGGGACCAGCAACGTGTCTCACCTGAGGTGATTTTGCCCCCAAGGGCATTTGGCAATGTCTGAAGGGATTTGGGGTTGTCACACCCTGCGAAGCGGGGTGGAATGCTGCTGGCACTAGTGAGTAGGGGCCGGGGATGCTCCTAAACATCCTGCAAGGCATCCCTGCCCCCCAGCAAAGAATTACCCAGACCCAAATATCAGCCTCAGCTGAGGCTGAGAAGCCTGCTAGCAGATGCCATTTAAGCTGGGCCTTGGAGGGGAAGGAGGTTTCCAATAGGCAGAGACACTCTTTAAGTCAAGGGCTAGAGCCGGGAAGGCACAGGTGGGATCTGAGAAGCAGGTTGGCTCGTGTGGGTGGGGTGGAGGGGGCTCAGATTGCAAAACCCATTTTCCCGGGCTAAGGAGAGTTGGACTTTATTTAATTGGAGTCATTCAGGGGTTTTGCATATATATACTAAGATAAGTTTTAAAAAAAATTTTTTTTAATTGAAGTATTGATTTACAATGTTTCAGGTATATAGCAAAGTGATTCAGTTATATGTATATTCTTTTCCATTATAGGTTACTACAAGATATTGAATATAGTTCCCTGTGCTATACATTAGGTCTTTGTTGCTTACCTATTTTATTTACAGTAGCTGTGTATGTGTTAATCCCAAATCCCTAATTTATCCCTCCCCTCTAAAGATAAGTTTTTGTGTTTAAAAAACCCATGGTGATGGGCTTCCCTGGTGGCACAGTGGTTGAGAGTCCGCCTGCCGATGCAGGGGACATGGGTTCGTGCCCCGGTCCGGGAAAATCCCACATGCCGCGGAGCAGCTGGGCCCGTGAGCCATGGCCGCTGAGCCTGCGCGTCCGGAGCCTGTGCTCCACAATGGGAGAGGCCACAACAGTGAGAGGCCCGTGTACCGGTAAAAACAAAAAACAAAAAAAACCATGGTGGGGCTTCCCTGGTGGTGCAGTGGTTGAGAGTCCGCCTGCCGATGCAGGGGACACGGGTTCGTGCCCCGGTCCGGGAAGATCCCACATGCTGCGGAGCAGCCGGGCCCGTGAGCCATGGCTGCTGAGCCTGTGCGTCCGGAGCCTGTGCTCCGCAACGGGAGAGGCCACAACAGTGAGAGGCCCGCGTACCGCAAAAAAAAAAAAAAAAACATGGTGAATTCAAACAGTGCAAATCTTAATCTCTTTCCCATCTCTCACCCCTGGCTTCCCAGTTCTCCCCAGAAGTGACCATGCCTAATCAGTTTCTTGGGTGTCCTTTCTGAGATGGTCTGTGCTATACGTGTGTGTGTGTGTGTGTGTGTGTGTGTGTGTGTGTGTGTGTGTCTTAGGGTTGTTTTTCACTGTTAACCTTTTTCTGATTATAAATGCAATTCATGTCCACCGTGGAAAAGTTCATCAAAATAGAAATAGGTAATGTGGAAAAGATGTCCTGTGAATGCACCGCACCCCTGCCCTGCAGCCTCACAATCACACTACCAGCCAAGCTAGGGGAGCCTTGTCATTGGAGGCCTCACAGCTTGAGGCAGTGCTTCGGAGAGAAAGCAGGGTGCTGGGTGGACGGTCATACTAGAGGCTGAGGATGGATTCCAAGGCTCCTGCAGCAGCCCAGGCAAGTGACCAGCGCCTAGGCCAGAGCTCGCAGGAGGGAACGGACAGGACAGATGTTTAAGGGGGAGAACCTCCAGGCCTCCTCCTAACCTGGGCAAGATTCTGCAGAAGAAGGGAAATGGAATTCACTTCGTGCCCTTGGAGTATTGACAGTCCCCTTAGGGAGGCCAGGGAGCTTGGAGGAGGCAAACAGACAGCTGCTCTACAAGGCAGCAAGTACAGGCCCCGGTGTGTGCCACATCCAGAGGCCTGGCCACACCCTGAGGCAGGGTCTGAGTGTGGCCTCACAGTCTTGGGTCTGACTCTTAGGATGGGAGGCTACTAGCTCACTTAGCACAGAAAGGGCGGGACAGCTACCTCTGACCAACCTCATTGGGAACTGATAAGCTGGTTGGTCCAGAGGCTAACGATTTGCCTCTTGAGGTGTCCGCAGGCAAGATTCTACCATGGTTATAAAGCAGTGCAGTCCAGTAGGAATTAAGTTGGCCTTCCTTATCCAAATACGTATTTGGATGTGGAAGAGCTGTTCTATGCCATTTTATACAAGGGACCTGAGCACTGAAGGATTTTGGTGTTCCAGGTGGGTCCTGGAACCAATCCCCTGCGGATACCGAGGTACAACTGAATAATGTGAACCATAAATCCTAGTGTAGAGGAAAAACTCTATTGTTTTTCCTTATACTCCACACAATACTCCACTTAATGACACTTCTGGTCACCAAATGTGTCTGGGTTTTTCCCACACCAAGCAGTCCTCCAATTCTGAGTGAAAACAGAAAGGCTGTCTTGGGGATAGCATCAGATCCCATAGGTTAAGGGCTCAGTCCCACAAGACCGTACCCACTTCAAATGCCAATTGCAAGTCCAGGTTGTCACCTGTGCTTCTGATGAACCATTTATAAATTGCAGATTCCCATGACCCCCTCCTGAAGTTTGATTAATTTACTAGAGTGGCTCAGAGAACTCAGGGAAACAGTTTACTTACTAGATTACCAGTTTATTATAAAGGGATACCACTTAGGAACAGCTAGATGGAAGAGATGCAGAGGACAAGGCCTGTGGGAAGGAGTGAGGAGTTTCCATGCTCTTTCTTTTCTTTTTTAATAAACTTATTTATTTTTGGCCGCATTGGGTCTTTGTTGCTGCACGTGGGCTTTCTCTAGTTGCAGCGAGCAGGGGCTACTCTTCGTTGCAGTGCTCAGGCTTCTCATTGCAGTGGCTTATGTTGTTGCGGAGCATGGGCTGTAGGCGCGTGGGCTTCAGTAGTTGTGGCACGTGGGCTCAGTAGTTGTGGCTCGTGGGCTCTGGAGCGCAGGCTCAGTAGTTGTGGCGCACGGGCTTAGCTGCTCCGTGGCATGTGGGATCTTCCAGACCAGGGCTCGAACCCATGTCGCTTGCAGTGGCAGGCAGATTCTTAACCACTGCGCCACCAGGGAAGCCCACCATGCTCTTTCTGGGCACGACACCCTCCCAGCACCTCCACTTGTTTACCAGCCTGGAAGCTCTCTGGACCATAGCTCACGGCTTTTTATGAGGACTTCATTACGTAGGTGTTAAAACAGGAAGGTAGGGCTTCCCTGGTGGCACAGTGGTTAAGAATCTGCCTGCCAATGCAGGGGACATGGGCTTGAGCCCTGGTCCGGGAAGATCCCACATGCCATGGAGCAACTGAGCCCAAGTGCCACAACTACTGAGCCTGTGCTCTAGAGCCCATGAGCCACAACTACTGAGCCCATGTGCCACAACTACTGAAGCCCATGCACCTACAGCCCATGCTCCACAACAAGAGAAGCCACCACAATAGAAGCCCACGCACCGCAACGAAGAGTAGCTCCTGCTAGCCCCTGCTGGCCGCAACTAGCGAAAGCCCACACGCAGCAACGAAGACCCAACGCAGCCAAAAATAAAATTAATCAATTAATTATTTTTTTAAAAATACACCAAAAAAACAGGCAGGTAGCTAGATGTGAGCAGAGAAAGGGGAGCACAGGCCAGATGGCAGGAAACCATGCATCTTGGGGTCCACAGGCAGACAGAGAAAAGCAGGAACCTCCAGACTGACAAGAAACCACATATCCTGGGGTGGCAGACAAAGAAAGGTGGGAAAAGGTGGGAATCTCCGGTGTCCAGCTGTAACCTTTTGCTCATTATGCTCTCATTACAATAAAAATTAGCCTTGCAGATAAGAAATACCCATCATACACTGGCGCCACGACACTTCCAATCAAGGGTTATATAAGGACAAAAATCCCTCCTCCCCTCGGGAAGGTGGAGCTGGAATGAAAATCAGGGAACACGACCCCCAAGCCTTCCTTCTGCAATGAATATTCCGCCCCACATGACCGGCTTGCCAAGAAAACTCGGGGCAGCTCCTCACCTGTCTCCCTGCTCTCCCTTTGAAAGAGTACTTTTGCTTAAATAAATACTCAATTTACTTTCTTGACCTCCCCGTCTCATCTCTGAATTCTTTCTGCCATGGACAAGAACCTTTCTTTCACTGAGAATATAGGCACGGTTGATTAAATCATCAGCCATTAGTGATCAAGTCAATCTCCAACTCCTCTCTCAGGAGGTTGAGAGGGGTGGTGAGGCTGAAAGTTGCAACCCTCTAATCACGTGGTTGGGTTCCCCTGGCAACCAGCCCCCATCTTTAGGAGTTTTTCAAAAGTTGTCTCATTAACATAAACTCAGGTGTGGTTGAAAGGTGTGAATAACAAAAAGACACTCATTTCACCTTTATTTAAATAGCTCTGAAGCTGTTTCAGAAACTGAGGACAAAACTAAATATTATGACAAAAGATGCCCCTATGGCTCTTATATAGGTAATTACCAGGGCTTTAGGAGCTTTGTGCCAGGCACAGTAGACAAAGACCAAATATATAGTTCTTATTATAAACCACAATATCACAGGGAGCCACTTATGTAATTTTAGATTTTTTAGTAGCCACATTTTAAACAGTAAAATGGACAAGTGAAATTCATTTTAGTAATATATATTTTTTAACCCAATTTATCCAAAATACTATCATTTTACAATACAAAAATATCAATGAGATTGTTTACATTCCTTTTCTTACCGAGTCTTACACATCTCAGTTTGCACTGGCCACATTTCAGGAGCTCGTAGCACACATGGCTGGGGGGTACCATACCTGAGAGCGCAGGCTTGGAGCCTTCCCTGCTGTTGTTGAGGCCATCAGGAGTCTGTTTACTGCGGTGTCCCAGTGCCTGGCACATAAGGAGGCCTAGTAAGCTGCCATATGTGAGCTGGGGTAATCTCCCCTCTGAGCCAACTGGGACCAATGTGAAGGTCAAAACGATGTATGTTAGGTAGCCTGCTCAGGGACTGTTACTGTTCTTACTTCCTCAAAGTCAATTGAAGGGCGGCAGGCCCAGGCTTGCTTCCTGTCTTACTCTTGAGAGCTCTTGTCTAAAATTACCAAACACAAGCTTGGATTCCAGAGCAGACAGGGTCCTTGGGGTCAGGCTCTGGGGCAACAAACGAAAGAGCGGGAACTTCTAATCTACGCCCTTGGTTTCTTTTCCCCTTGACAGCTCGTGGCCCCGCCCACCCCAGCCCTTACCGGCGCCTGGCGGAACTACAGCCCCCATGATGCAGCGGGATTCCCGAAATTTACGTCATCGGCTTGGGACGCCAGGGCGGTGAATAAGATCGCTGAGGCGCCTCTCCAGGCGCTGAGCCAGCTGACCCCTGACCCATAAACGTTAGTAGGGTGGAAGCTGCTGAGCTCGGAGTCCACCGACTCACTGGGACCAGAACGGCGAGCCTGCGGCGTCTGGTGACGCGCGCGTCCTGCCTCCTCCTCCCGCCTGTCCCCGGGGGGCGCGTGTTGGTGACGTCGGGGTTATGATGGCCACCGGGAGGCCGGGAAGGTGAAGGTGAGAGGGCGAGCGCGTTGGGTGGTGGGGCCCAGCCCGGGCCAGCACGGCGAGACCTGAGTACCCCGGCGTGGGCCTGTGAGACGCCGCGTTCCCGGGGGCTCAGGATCCGGGCCGGCGGGCGTCCCCACGTTCCGGCCTCGCCGCCGGGCCCTCAGCGGCCCTGACAGGAGGGGGCGGGACGCGGGACGCGGGACTCGGGTGTGGGGTCCCCTAAGGCTTCTTGTCACCCCCGCTTGCTCACCCTTCGCCACCACATCCCACCCCTGCCCTTTCCCCATTTCTCATCCAGTTCTCTGTATTTGCCTGCGCTTATTCAGCACGAGAGGTGCCAACGTTCATCACCGTAGGCGCCCTGCTCTGACTTCCCCAAATTTGGGCATTTCTTGCTCTCGCACTGTTGTCTCTTGTTTGGCTTCTCAATGGACGGTAAGCCCCCGTGAGGGCAGGGACTGTTTTTTATCCATCTCTAACTCTAGCGCCTAGCACACACACACAGAGGGCAGACAGAAAATGTCGAATAATTAGCTGCTTGGATGCTTGAAGCCAAAACTGCCCATTCACGTCTGTTTTAAGCCTTGATTGCCCTGTTTCTTTAATTTCTCTATTTACTCTCTTTCTCTCCTCCCAGAAAGGGCTCTGTCACCCTTCCCATCCTCAAGGATCGGGTAAGGCAGCTTCCAATAATTGAAAATAAGTGAGCTTTACAGTCAACGGGAGGTGATATCTCAGTTCCCAGCTTGGCCACTTAACTAGCAGTCCATAAATCTCTGAAGTATTCCAAGCCTCTCTTTGCACCATGGAATTGAGAATTAAGTAGGATATTTTACAGCATCTGGCAGATAGAGGCTTTCAGTAAGTTTCACTTGTCTCTCTCAACTCCACCTTCCCGTCTCTAATCCTCAGTGCCACAGTCCTCAAGCCCAGTCCTTGACCTGGTTCTGCCCCCTCCTGTCACCCCTCTGGATGTGCCTTTACCAGGGTCTCTGCTTCTCACCAGCACATGTCTTAACACGTGTTTGTGCACACCCGGGCTTGGCCTCGCACCTGTGTGTTGTGTTTTTCCCCAGGGCACTTTCTCACATACCACCCCAATACCTCAGTGAGTAAGCTTCCCTCGGGGATGAGTTTGTTTGGCTTTTAAACCTGATTAGACTTCTTTGGCATCTTTTTTTTTTTTTCCTGCCCTGTTGACATGTCCCTTTTCCTTTCCAATAACTCAGAATTGGTGGAGTCAACACAATCAGTAGCCAGCCTCAACCTGAGACAGAACAGAGGAGAACTCAGATTCTTTTCATCTTTTTGACTCCAGCCATGTCCATGATGCCCACCCTGTGAAGGTCTCTCACCATCCATAAAGTAAGTGGGGTGGTTGTCACATCTGGCACCCTGGATCTGGGTGGAGTGGAAAGGGGTGTACTCTGCTGGCCATCCAGCAGCAAGTCTCTTGGATGGGGTCATCTCTGCACAGAGCTGGAGCGTTCCAACCCATGTTGGAAAGAACTGTAGTTCCTTTCACCTTCCATGGAGGATTTCACTGGTTGCCGAGAGAGCCCGTTTAAAGATTGACTGTTCAGAAGGTGACTGGGCTCTCTGGGCTCCCGGAAGAATGAGTCTCTGTCTCCCAAGTTTGTTCTCTGCTGTGCTGGCTCCTCCCGCCCCCTCTCCACCCAGCAGAAGTTGGCTCGTTGGCTCCTTATCACAGCTCTTCTAAGAGTCTCCTCTGCCCCTTTGCCCTGCATGCTCTTTTGTTTCAGTTTCTCGGCTTTTCCTCTGTTCCAGTGTGCCAGCAGACAATCCGTGGATCCATTTTATATTCCCTGCTAGGAGTTGCTGTGCATGAAACTGGGTAAAGAGGTGGTGTGGATTCAGGGACTGTGCCTGGGATCCACACACACCTTGTGGTGTGTTTGCTATCCCTATACCCAAGGCACTTAATCCTCTTTAACTAATAGCCTAGGTTGAGGCAGAGCTTTTCAGTACCTGGGAGTGCTAATAGCTGTTAATTTTTTTTTTTTTTTTTTTTTTTGGCTGCATTATGTGGGATCTTAGTTCCCTGACCAGGGATTGAACCCATGCCCCCTGCGTTGGGAACATGGAGTCTTAACCACTGGACCGGCAGGAAAGTCCCTAATAGCAGTTTAGAATTGGGTTTGGTTCTGGTCTTAGGTTAATATCTGTTAATATTGTGTCCCCAGCACTTTTTTGGGGTGGGAGTGGGAGACTACTAGGATAAATGAGGCTTTTCCCAAAGTATGACCCTCAGGGTTTTAAACACTGTGACATAGAAGAAGGGTTTCTTCAGATAAATTTGTGAAATGCTGTGTTAAATACAGTTAAACAGGCCTTCCTTCCCAAAGTCTTTGCTGTGCTCGTGTACTCCAGTGGAGGGGGACTGTAGCATATAGTGTTTTACAAATTGATTCTGCTATGGGATCATTTTTGTCCACTGCAGTTCTGTGGACCACGCTTTGGGAAATGCTGCCGTAAACTCTCCAAAACCATGACCTCAAGAGCACTTTGAGGCGGTCACAACAGCTTGAAGCGTGCCACTTAGTGTATAGCTGATACCGGAGCTCAACTCTGGCCCAGCTGTGCTTGGGGGACTGGCTGTGCATGCCTGCTGTGAGCCCTGTGGTAAAGTAGGGGCTGTCAGGGCTTTCCAGAGGAGGAACAGGAACCAGCTGTTTCCCCCAGCTCTGGACGCATAGGAAGCCAGCAGGTGGAACCCCAAGATAGCTGGGGCCCTATCTTGGCTTGTGTGTGTGTATTTGCAACTGTGGTCCGTTTGTGCACGTATGTATACCCTGCTTGCTCTTTGGAAGGATTACATTCTGGAATCTGAAAGATTTGTTTAATTCTCTTGACTCACTGAACTCCAAATACTAAGAAACAGATACTTAGCCAAAGGCTGCTTTTTAAGAAAAAAGTACATGTATGTATTCCAGGATTGGGAGGGTAGGAAGGTAATCCCCTTCAGGGGCATTCACTGTCTCAAACCATGTCTCTTACAGTTGTAGGGGAGGAAAGTAGAAATGGAAATAGGTCACTGCTGTGTATTAGAGACTGGCTTTCTAGAAGCTCACAGATTAGACAGAAAGTATGACAAAAAAAAAAAAGCCAAAAGTCTGGTAAGGTTGCATGGCCTCCACAGAGATGTCAAGGAAGGCTTCATGGAGGGGGTGACACTAGAGCTGGGTCTAGAAGGACAGGAGGAGTAGGCCAAATGGGTGAATAAGGAAAGAGGATTCCAGGCTGAAAGCAACATGTGTAACACGAACATGGAATCTCAGCTCAGGCACGAACAGAGGCAGAGAAAGCAGTTTGGAGGCGTTGGTGGTTTGGGACGTGCAGCTGCAGGCTGGGGAATGTGAGAGCAGGGCAGCACCTGGATGGGCTGCACTCTGAGCAGACCAGGTAACCTTGAAGCACTAAGCTTTACCTAGTGTGTATGCTTTTAAATCTTGCATTTACTGAACACTAACGCCTTTGGTGTCATACCCTTTGGACTTGAAAACAATGACCAGAATTTGAAAGCACTTGCATCTAAAAGCCCAGCTGATCTCTGAGAACTTGCTGCCTGCAAGCAAGTCACTTCTGGGGCGGGGCACTGCGGAGCCTCACCCCTGAGCTGACCTGTGTCCTCAATCCCCATGGCAGCCGTCAGCCGTCGGGCAGCTGTGGGTGTGCTGGTGGGGGAGTTGCCTCTGCCCTCCCCTGAAGGTTGGTTATTCCAGGGGGAAGTCTTGTGATCTTGCTGGTGGAGTTTATTACTCTTGTTGTTTTACAACATGTAAAACTACCTTTGAGTTCGTGCCATATCAGCTTTAATCTTCTCACGGTCTACGTGATATCATGCTTGTACATGTGACGAATCCAAGCATCTGAGGTTTAAACAGCCGAGAAATAGTACAGTCACGATTTGAACCCAGCTCTCTGATTCCAGAATCTATCTATAATGCTAGCTACATCATGCCATCCCAGACCCACTTCTCCTTTCGGTGACTTTCCTCTTCTGCTTACACATATCCCCTGTTTCTCTAAGAGTCTTTCCTGCTGGGCCACAGTAAGCCTGATTTCAGTGTACTCTCCTTTTCTGCTTTGGAGGAACCAGTGGTATCTTCTTCCTAGTTCCCCTTCTCAGAGCTCTGCTGTCTTTCTTATTTCAGCCTTTGACACGTGGGCTCCATGCTTAGAAAATCTCCCAGCTGTGGTGTATTCCTGGGGAGGAAGGACACACACTTTCCTCTCTCATCTCCCCAGAAATCAGGAACAGCGCAAAATAATTGGTAGGTTTAGGCAAAACCTGTGGGTCCCCATTTCCCTGTGTGTCTCTCTTTCTGCCCACCCTTTGGGATGGTTAGTTCCTAAGGGCCACTTTTCAGTTATTATGCATTTGTTCCAGATGTTCTTTCTGCTTCTCAGGAACTGGTTCAACGCGCTTTGGCAGTTTCTCGTGTATGTTCACTCGTGGGCAATGCGCTGTCATTTCCCAGCTAGAGCGAGTGCCGGGTCTGGTGGAGAGCGGTGTGATTAGGGTGGCTGGGGTGGGAGGGGCCGACAAGAAATTGCTGGGTGTTGAGGAGGGCAGAACCGGGCACACACAGCTGTGCACACTCCCCTCATCCTCAGAAGGGCCTTTTCCCTGTGACTTCCCAGCGTCTGAGGGCTCTACTGAAGAAATGGCACTGTGTGAGCTGGGAACTCTGAGGAACGATCCAGGGATGCCCAGCCACATCTGGGGACCGCCTTCTCTGGTCTGTCTCCCTCTTTTGACTTTGAGCAAAGATCTCTAGGGCTTTGGAGTTAAGCCTCACGGCCCCTCGCATGTTATTGCCACATGAAGAAAAAGAGCCTGCAAAGATGTGTGTGTGATTGAATAAGAGCAGGAGAGCTACCCACACAAAAACAGACCGTGATGATAAGCAAATGTTAATAGTGCCTGTCACAGAATGGTGGGGTTGTGGATTTTTTTTCCTTTAGTTTCCACATTTTCTACAGTGTACACATTTAAAATGAAAAGAGAACGGTGAACGCTTTTAAGTAAATTGTCGAAGTAGGCCTCTCTCATTTGAAGATCACCCTTCCTTGCCATCCACGCCTCCACCCTCCCCAGCGACCGGAAATAAAACCAAAAACCTTTTAGGAGTTAAGGCCATCAGGACCGAACAGCAGAGTAGCCAGGGCAGGGTGGTGGGAGGGCCTGACCTTGAGTGTCACTATGCTGTCACTGCTTTCAATATTCAGCGCTTTTTCTCAGGGGGGTGATGTATAGGAAATAAGTGAGATTTCTGTCACTCTTTTCTGCATAAGACTAGGAGGAGGGCTTCTCTGTGTGTTACCTTGTGGTTCCCCTCTGTCTCTCTCTGAAATGGGGAGGGCAGGCCTGTCCCTGTTCACCAGGCAGGGAACAGCCAGCGCTAGACCTGAGCTCAGGGCCCTGGGTGCCCACACTGTGTGACATGGAGACAGGCCCAGGTGGTCCCTTCCTACTCTTGAGGTGCTGGTTCTGATCTTGCTGTCCCTGATCTAGTCCTGGAGGGCCCATGTTCTGGATGGACCCTCAAGCTGGTGCCCGTCCCCCTGCTGCACCCCGCTGCATGCCGGCAGAACGTCCTGGGCTGGGTGTCCCTGGGTTCGCTCACGTGTCTTCTTTCTCTTGCAGCGCGATGTCCCTGCTCTTCTCTCGATGCAGCTCCATCATCACAGTCAAGAAGGATAAGAGACACATGGCTGAAGTGAATGCTTCCCCACTCAAGCACTTTGTCACCGCCAAGAAGAAGATCAATGGCATTTTTGAGCAGCTGGGGGCCTACATCCAGGAGAGCGCCACCTTCCTTGAAGGTGAGACAGGCACCCCACTCAGCCAGGCCCACTCCTGTCAGCTTCAATATTTAGGTGGCAGGATTTGGGGATGGGGAGGTACAGCCCTGCTCTTGAGGAGCTCATGACCAGATGGGTTGTCACCTTCAGTGGTGCTCTGCTCTTGGAATCATGGAATTGGACTCCGGGGAGATTGGGCCAGGAAAGCAAGGGACCTATCACTGAAGAATTCTACGAACTCTGTTCCATTTAGTCACGAGGGGTAGGTGAATCGTATCCTCATCTAAGAGACAAGCAGATTGAGGTTTTGAGAATTGTTTGATACCTTGTAAGTGACACAGCGGCCTTTACCCGGATGTCTCTGACTCCAAAGCCCAGGTGTTTTCCTTGGCCCGGTCTGGCTGCCATCAGTCCGGGCACTGTCTGGGTGTTGGTTGTTCCGACCAGGGTGTTCTCTCACTGATATTTTTAGACAACAGGACTATGAATAAGAAACTTGTGTCACCAGTACCTTTTCCTCTAGTTACTAGTTTGAGCCCAACCTCTAATCCCTGCTCTGTCAGCAGGGAAGGACTGGTTCCCAGGGCCCCACTAGGTCTGAGCACCAACTCCAGCCACTGGCTTCTCAGACTCCCTCTCTAGAAGGTACACCTTGGCTCTAGGTCCTGGGATTGTCAGTGAAGACCCAGTAGCTGAACCTTATCTGTCCTTGGTTTCCTCATTTGTGAAAGAGGGGCTCAGGTGAGACCAGGGGTTTCCAAATTCTAGTCTGCAGAACCCTAAAAGCTCAATGGGAATGCCCCTGGGTCACACTGCTGTCCACGCTCTGCTTCCACTGGGGCACCTTGGCTTCTGGCTGGGCTACATGTCAGGCTGCTACTGTAGGCTCCCTGTAAGGAAAGGAAATAGTTCCAGTGCTATATGGTGTAACTGTGTGTCCCTCCACGTTCACATGTTGGAATCCTGAGGCCCAAAGTGTTGGTGTGAGGATGTAGGGCCTTTGGGAGGGGATTATGTCACGAGGGTGGAGCCCTCATGAATGAGATTAGTGCTCTTATAAAGGAGACCCCACAAAGCTCCCTCGCCCCCTTCCGCCACTTGAGGATACAACAAGAAATCTGCCACCTGGAAGAGGGCCCTCACCTGACCAGGCTGGCACCCTGATCCGAGACTTCCAGCCACCAGCACTGTGAGCAATACATTTCTGTCGTGTCTAAGCCACCCAGTCATGGTATTTTGTTCGAGCAGCCTGAATAGACTAAGAATGGACTCTTTATGCCCTGCCCTCAACGTGGTGCTTGAAGCAAGAGAGGCGTTCCCAAAGTATGTGTTACATTTAAAAATTCGAATTTCAGGGTTATAAGATTGGTGGTTGTAATTATTCCAGTTTATTATCTGTTTGTTTAGCAATAGTTCTGGTGTGCCTGGCCCTGTGCCTGCAGAGATGGGACAGACCAGGCCCCTGTCCCGCCAGAGCCCAGACTAACCCTCTGTGATGCTCTGACTCACTCAGATGGTTCTGTGGACAAGCACGTGCTTAATAATGAAGGTGTTTGTGTGATGGCATCAGGAGTGGGTGTTTTGGTTTCTCTTTTTGTGAAAATATGGAGCCACTCGTATTGGCGGACTAGAAGGGAAAGCACTGGACCCATCCTGAGGTGTATTTGGGATTGTCCTGGCCAGGGAAGGGGACGGCTACTGCCTTGGGACTGTTCTCTAAAGGGCAGGTGACAAGAGCTTGTTGGCCTACTGCCTGTTTCTTTTAAATGTAGCCACAGGCTTAAGAGCCAGCTTCCTCTGGGGCGCATTCCAGAGGCCACACCCAGGTGCCCACATAAGGGAAGAATGTTGATGGGTCTGAGTAGGGGGTGACCAGTGGATGTGGGGAGGTCTTGTTGGTTTGCTCACTTCCTTTCGTGGCACCAGCTGCGGGGGAAACTCACTGGGCATCTCTGAAATGCGCTTGCCGTGCTCTGGATGCTGTGGGAGTGCTCTCCGTGCTGGGGCCTATCAGCCCAGTGGTTCACAAGTGCCTTAGTCTGTTTGGGAGGCTGTAACAGAAATACCGTAGACTGGGTGGCTTGTAAACAACAAAAATTTATTTCTCACAGTTTGGGAGGCTGGGAAGCCCAAGATCAAGGTATCAGCAGATTTGGTGTCTGGCGAGGACCAGCTTCCTAGACTGCTGTCTTTTCTCTGTATCATCACATGTAACCACACGGCAGGAGGGGCTGGCTAGCTCTTTGGGTCTCTTTTGTAAGGGCACTAATCCCAGGCATGGGGTCTCCATCTCTATATACAGTTGACTCTCGAATAACATGAGTTTGAACTGCGCGGATCCACTTATATGTGGATTGTTTTCAATAGCAAATACTATATAGTAGTACAGAATCCATGGGTGAATCTGTGGATGCAGAACCGTGGATATGGAGGGCTGACTAAATTACATGCTGAGTTTTGACTGTGTGGAGAGTCGGCGCCCTAACCCCCGTGTTGTTCAGGGGTCAGCTGTACCATCATACCGTCATCACATAGGGGCACATAAACATTTAGTCCATTGCAGCAAGAGTGTGCTGAGGGGCAAACACCCATCTGCTGTCCAGCCAGCTCATGACCTTCCTCGTGCAAGTACTAGATGGGATGGGGTCAGGATCTTGCTCAGTTGCTCCCATCTGTCATCGTATGTTATCCACCTGCCTGTCAAGGGCCCTGGGAAGAAGCAATGCAGTGATCCTAGTATCTGTTTGCTTAGTGAACACTGTGCACCTGCTGAGCGCTGGGTGCTGGGATCAGACAGCTTGGCCTTCATGTGGTAGGTGGTGCAGACAGGTGAGCTAGGCGGTTACCCTGTGGTGAGATAAGGGCTAAGATAGGAGAAGTACAGGGTGCTGTGGGAGCATAAACAAGGGGACCAGACTCAGGGGCGGTCAGGGCAGGCTAAGTGGGAAAGAGCCAGGCACCCTGAGGCGGTGCATTAGTTCTTCAGAGTGGGGGAGGGGCATGGGGAAGCACTGAGCAAAGCCCAGAGCAGTGGCGAGTGTGGGGATGTGGTGAGGCAGCATGCGAGGCAGCGGGTGCCCAAGACCTGGCTGGAGCAGTGAGCGGGGCCAGAGCAGGCAGGGCCTCATGAAGGTGCACAGGGACCCGGTCCCAATCCCAGCTCTGCCATCTGCTAACTCTGATGGGTACATGCCGTGGATTAAATGAGAATGTATTTGAAAAGTGATCAGGGGCTTCCCTGGTGGCGCAGTGGTTAAGAACCCACCTGCCAATACAGCGGACACGGGTTCGAGCCCTGATCCAGGAAGACCCCGCATACAGCGGAGCAACTAAGCCCCTGAGCCACAACTACTGAGCCCGCTCTCTAGAGCCCACGAGCCACAACTACTGAAGCCCGCACGCCTAGAGCTCATGCTCCGCAGCAAGAGAAGCCACTGCAATGAGAAGCCCGCGCACCACAACAGAGTAGCCCCCACTCGCTGCAACTAGAGAAAGCCCGCACCCAGCAACAAAGACCCAACATAGCCAAAAATAAATAAATAAAAATTAAAAAAAAAAAGTGGTCAGAACAGTGTCTGGCGTATAGTGAGAACTTGGTAAGTATTTGTTAAGTAAAAAACATATAACTTCATTAGGTACCTGCCCCCATTCCTGGTGATTTTGTGTTTTAATCCATTTAATCCTTTCACTAGTCACATGAAGTAGGTGCTGTGTTTTAAGGGTGAGGAAACTAAGACCAGGAAGGTTCATTTGCCTGGGGTCACAAAGAGCCAGGAAGAGGTGAGAACCAGCACTTCTTGCACTGGGATCCAGGCAGTCTTGCTCCCAAGCTGTGTTCTTTGTTTTCTGGCTGCGCGGCCTGCGGGATCTTAGACCTCCCACCAAGGATCTAACCCACACCGCCTGCAGTGGAAGCTTGGAGTCTTAACCACTGGACCGCCAGGGAAGCCCCCCAAGCCGTGTTCTTCACTGCACTGCGGCCCACAGTAGGGAGTAGCAGGGAGCCGTGGTGGTGGACCCTGCCTTCCAGACTTGTGACTGTGGGACTCTGACCGTGGGGTGAGCCATTTTCAATCTCCACCTCCAGACACCTACAGGAATGCGGAACTGGACCCTGTTACGACAGAAGAACAGGTTCTGGACGTCAGAGGTTACCTGTCCAAAGTGAGGGGCATCAGCGAGGTGCTGGCCCGGCGGCACATGAAAGTGGCTTTTTTTGGCCGGTGAGTCTCAAAGCCCTCATACCTTCTTTCTTCCCAGCGGGGGGCAGGCAGGAAGGCAGGCACTTTGTGTGGAATCACAGCCTGAGGGCCCCAAGGCAGAGAAGCAGCTGGCATGCTTCAGAGTTCAGTGCTCTCCTTCTTATTTCTTTATTTGTAACTGCGGTTAAATACACGTAATGTAAAATTTACCATCGTACCCATTCTTAAGTGTACGGTTCAGTTTTGTTAAGTACATTCACGTTGTTGTACAACCATCACCACCATCCACCTCCAGAACTTCTTCCCCTTGGAAAATTGAAACTCTGCCCATTAAGTGACAACTCCCGTTCCCCTCTCCCCACCCCCCTGGCAACCACCATTCTCCTTCCTGTCTCTATGAGTCTGACTACTCGAGGTGCCTCAGGTAACTGGGATCACACAGTATTTTTTTGTGACTGGCTTCTTTCACTCAGTATAATGTCCTCTAGAATCATCCATGTTGCAGCATTTGTCAGAATACCTTCCTTTTTAAGGCTGAGCAATATTCCATTGTATGTATATACCATATCGTGTTTATCCATTCATCCATGATGGACACTTGTTGCTTCCACTTTTTGGCTATTGTGAATAATGCTGCTATGAATGTGGGTGCACAAATATCTGTTTGAGACCCTGCTTTCAATTCTTTGGGGAATATACCCAGAGGTAGAATTGCTGGACCATATGATCATTCTGTTTAAAAAAAATTTTTTTTTTTGCCAGCGCTACACGGCATGCGGGATCTTAGTTCCCCGATCAGGGATTGAACCCGTGCCAACCTGTGCCCCCTGCAGTGAAAGCTCAGAGTCCTAACCACTGGACTGCCAGGGAAGTCCCCTGTTTTTAATTTTTTGAGGAACTACCCACCATATTGTTTTCCATAGCGACTGCACCATTTTAATTCCTATCAGCAGTGCACAGGGGTTCCAGTTTTTCCATATCCTCCCAATACTTGTTTTCTGTTTTTTTGATAGTAGCCGTCCTAAAGGGTGTGAGGTGGTATCTCTTGTAGTTTCAATATTCGCATTTCCCTAGTGATTAGTGATGTTGAGTGGCTCTTCATATGTTAGTTGGCCATTTGTATATCTTCCTTGGAGAAATGTCTATTCAAGTCCTTTGCCCACTTTTAAATTGGGTTGTTTGGGGGTTTTTTTAATGTCATTTTGGTGTGGTTTTTTTGTTTTTTGTTTTTTGAGTTGTAGGAGTTCTGGATTTAATTCCTTATCAGACATATGATTTAGAAATATTTTCTCTCATTCTATACGTCACCTTTTTACTCTGTTAACTGTCCTGTGATGCACAGAAATATTTTATTTTGATATTGTCCAATTTATGTATACTTTTTTGCCTATACTTTTGATGTCATATCTAAGAAATTGCCAAACCCAGTGTCATGAGGCTTTTCCCCTATGTTTTCTTCTAAGTGCTTTATATTTTTAGCCCTCAGATATCCTTCTTGTTACACTTTGTGGTCTGATAGGCACCTCTGGAATGTTTGCTACAGTACCAAGGACTTCTCCAGTTCTCGGTGGGCACTGACTGGGTGGCCTACACAGTGAACTCAGTTCTGACACGCTGCCTGGAGGTAGTGGCAGACCCCCAGGTTAAGAGCCCGGTCTCTCAAGACGCCCCTGCTTCAGGTGCCATTTGGAAACCTGGGCGTCTGACCCACTGGCTATAGATCAGAGGTTCCCACGACTTCCTCCTCTTAATTTGCTAGAGTGGCTCACAGAGCTCAGGGAAACATTTACTTACATTTACTGGTTAGTATATAAATATGGGATACTGTAAGGGATACAGGTGAAGAGGTACACAGGGTGAGGTCTGGGAGGGTCCTGAGCACAGGAGCTTCTGTCCCTGTGGAACTGAGGTGCACTGCCTTCCACCCTGAAGCTCATCAGTTCTCATTGTTCAAGAGATTTTGTGGAGCTTAATCCACAGCACCCTCCTTCCTTTTCCTGGAGGTCAGTGGGTGGGGCTGAAAGTCCCAACCCTCTTATCACTTGGTCTTTCTGGTGACCAGCCCATGCTGAGGCTGCCTGGGGGCCCCAACTGAGTCACCTCACTAGCGTAAACAGGTGTACCCAACAGGGGCTCCTTATGAGTAACTGAAGACACTCCTGCCACTCAGGAAATTCCAAGGGTTTTAGGAGCTCTGTGCCAGGAACTGGGGACAAAGACCGAACATATTTCTTGTTACACCACAGCACCTTTAAAAAAAGTAAAGCCCAATACAGGAAAAAAAAAAAAAGACACCCAGACGGTTGGATGCTGTGCGCACGGTGGTAGCCTGAGGAATTGGCACTGTGCTGCCCCTGCCCCTAATCACCTCAGGGGTGGCCCTCAGACCTCTGGGCTGTCATTTTGCGTCCTCCCCTCAGAGCTGTGGCCCTGGCTTTGGTGAGCTGAAGAGATGAGTCTGCGGAGTAGAGCTGTTTTCAAGAACCAGAATGTCAGAAAGGGGTGTGCTGGGCAGGGACGCTACAGTGACCTGCCCTGTGGCGGCCCCTTATCAGCTGGGCTGACAGGTGGGGCTTCATGTTTGGGGGGAGCACGGTGGGAGAAGGCAGCAAAATTGGCCTTTTGTAGAAAACCAGGGACTTTGGGGTCCTTCAGCTGAGGTCACTTAGACTGAGGAAGACACCCCGGGGGTGAGTCAGTGGTTCCAAGTAGAAGAGGAGGAGTGGGTTGTCCCTCGGAGTCAGACAGGTCATCTCCGGAGTGATGCTGAGAGCCTCAAGCTCGGTGGTGGGCTCCCTTGAGGGCAGAGAGCGCCTGCGTGCCAGCGCCACACCCAGGGAGCCCCTCGTAGGCTGGTTTGCTGTGATGAACCGGGAGCACATCACAGACACGGGTCACGGTGTTTGTCCAGCATTTTCATAAACACAGAGAGCCCTCTCCGCCTGTCTGGGCACACGCATCACTGTGGAGGACAAGACTTTGGACTTCCAGGCCGTAACTTAGTGACAGCCTGAGACGCAGATAGCGGTAGCTTCACTGACAGCCAGGATTTCCTCGTAGGACGAGCAACGGGAAGAGCACTGTGATCAATGCCATGCTCTGGGACAAAGTGCTGCCCTCCGGGATCGGCCACACCACCAACTGCTTCCTGCGGGTGGAGGGCACAGATGGCCACGAGGCCTTCCTCCTCACGGAGGGCTCAGAGGAGAAGAGGAGTGTCAAGGTGAGGGGACAGCGCCGGCCCGGCTCTCAGCCCTGGGCGTGCTGGTTGGTTAAATCCGGGCTTAGACCAACCAGCGCATGCCCTGTGCCAGGACCACTGGAAGCTCTAAGGAGAAGGCAGTGCCCTCCACCGCGGTGGAGTCTGGGAGGCCCTGTCCTAGCCTGGCTGCTTGGGAGTTGCGAGAGCTTCAGGGAGGGTCTGAAAGCCAGAGCGCCTGAAGTCCGGATTCACAGTCCTTGTGAATTGCTGGGCAGGCCTTTTCTCTTTGTGATGAAGAGCATATGTGCCTTGTTCTTTGGCGCGTTGCCAGAGAGCGATCCCTGCATTTGCTCTGTGATTCTGACACGTCAGCTCGGGGCTTGTGTGTTTTCATTTTTCTGAGAGCCAGCTGCATTCTTGGTTGGGGCCAGATGCTCATTTCGGTTCATAAAGAATTAACTAATGCAGAAAACCCTCAGCTTTAGGACAACATCCAAGAAACTCAAAAGAGAAGTGAAGAATAGTTGGTTCTTATCGACAGCTCCCAGCTCTTGACTTTTTATGTGTGAAATGAAAGAAAAAGGCGTAGCAGATCAGGCAGCAGTCTCAGGCCATCGTGCTGTGGCCACAAGGCACTGGAAATCTCCACGCTGGAGGCTCTTCCTCAGCCCTGATCTTTCTTTCCCTTCTCCCCCATCAGACTGTGAACCAGCTGGCCCACGCCCTTCACCAGGACGAGCAGCTGCATGCCGGCAGCCTGGTGAGTGTGATGTGGCCCAACTCCAAGTGTCCGCTTCTCAAAGATGACCTTGTGCTAATGGACAGGTAAGAGGGAAGGTGCCTCCCTAGGAGGTCCAAACTGGGAGGGCACCAGATTTCCATTTCTGGATCATCCAGGCCAGGATCCCCTAGGTCCTGTTGTTGCTCTGCTTAAGTATTGCTTTTCAAACTGGCTCAACCAAATCTTCCTGCCTCTTGGATTTCCTCCAGGGTCTGGTTACTGTATCCCTGGGCAGGCGTCAGGGCCCTGAAGATGTCCCAGTGATGGCCTGTAAAGAGGGATAGGGAGGATGCTCAAAAGTTGGGAAGGTTCTCAGCCTCAGCCCAACATTAGTGTGTTTATTGGGGGCGGGGGGCGATGGAGCTTGCGGTGGTGAGGTCCATGTTGTATTTTATTTTTCTCAAAGGAACACTTTGCTCCTGCTTTGTGGACAGGCTGTAACTATACCAAGAAGTGCGGTACTAGGGTGCTTGCCAGACTCACATAAATACAGAGCTTTACCTTAATTGTATACCCCCAAAGTAAAATTCAGATCATTATGTTTTTATAAAAGTGATAGATGCGTATGGCAAAAACCACATTTTCAGAGTCTGGAAGGATATGAGATGAAAAGTAAAAATCCCTCCCATAAGGGCCAGGCCCAATTTCTCTCCCTTCTGTAGCTTTCTCCTACTTTGCCTGGCTGCCTTAGGTCTGTTCAGAGCAGGAAGAATGGGGCCCATGGTCTGTGTGTCCAGTGACAGTTTATCCTTGTCGCCTCTAGCCCTGGCATCGATGTCACCACAGAGCTGGACAGCTGGATTGACAAGTTTTGCCTGGACGCCGATGTGTTCGTGCTGGTGGCCAACTCAGAGTCCACCCTGATGCAGACGGTAACCCCTCCTCCGCCTTTTCCCACACTCTGAGGACCCAGCTGAGTGGGCGGGCTGGCAGGGCCTCGGCTGGCACAGCTCCTCCCCCACTGAGGTCTTCCCCCGCATCCAGGAAAAGCAGTTCTTCCACAAGGTGAGCGAGCGCTTGTCCCGCCCTAACATCTTCATCCTGAACAACCGCTGGGACGCGTCCGCCTCGGAGCCTGAGTACATGGAGGAGGTGGGTGCCTCTTTACCCAGCAGTTTGGGGAATGCCACCCCATATGTCTACCCAGACCCTCTTTATACTCACCCAGGCCACATCCCTGAATGAATTTCAGCACCAGAGAAGTCCTGGGTGTTCCTTGGGGTCGCTGATGGCTTTAAAAATACCCCTTTGTGGGAGTTCCCTGGCGGTCCAGTGGTTAGGACTTAGTGCTTTCACTGCTGAGGCCCCAGGTTCAATCCCTGGTCAGGGAACTAAGATCCCACAAGCCGTGCAGTGTGGCAAAAACAAAACCAAACAAAAACAAACTGAAAAAACAAAAACAACTCTTTGGGACTTTCCTGAAGGTCCAGTGGTTAAGAATCTGTGCTTCCAGGGGCTTCCCCGGTGGCACAGTGGTTGAGAGTCCACCTGCCGATGCAGGGGACACGGGTTCATGCCCCGGTCTGGGAAGACCCCACATGCCGCGGAGCGGCTAGGCCCGTGAGCCATGGCCGCTGAGCCTGAGCGTCCAGAGCCTGTGCTCTGCAACGGGAGAGGCCACAACAGTGAGAGGCCCGCGTACCGCAAAAAAA